TCTAGAACTGAGCCACTTAATATATGCAGCTACTGAGCTGCGCATTGGTGGTGCACGCCTTTAATCCCAGCACTTGGGAGGCAGAGGCAGGCAGAGATCTCTGAGTTTGAGGCCAGCCTGATCTACAGAGTGAGTACCAGGACAGCCAGAGTTACACAGAGAAACCCTGTCTCACAAAACAAAAAATATATGCAGCTACTGGCCGCTTGTGACTGCTTCTCTTGGCTCATGGTTCCTGGATGAGTGGCAGCTAAGGAACATCCATCACTAATGATGGTGATGACCTAAAAGCCAGCTGGAGAAAGTAAAGGACGAGGTGTCAGAAACTCTTCCAAAAGTAACTCTGGAATCAAGACCTGGTCTTTGGGTTTGGTGTTAATAATCACTAGTTAGCAGTTTTGGCAAAAGTCTGAGAGAAGCATATTCAGAACAACCCAGAGAAGATTCGATATCAAGAAAATGTACATAAAATTTGCAAATGACTCAAGTTAACTTTCTACAGAACATTTGCTGTTACTGTTCCAAAGATAAGCACAGCTCTAACTTGAATCTTCAGTGAATGCTACATTAAAATACCATGGACCAGTTCTTTTTAACCCTAATGGAAGCATCTAAAAAGTATTTAAGACAGAATGATCTGGGGCCCACACTTCTATGGACCTTGACATTATTTTATGTGAGCTTTTTCTTTTTTTTTCTCACCACTTCTCACCAAAAGACTGGGATCCCTAGGTCTCACTTGCTGGCCAGCCTAGCCACTTGGTGAGCTCCAGGCCAGTGAGCCCATCTCCAAAACCAAAGTGGATAGTGCCAGAGAAAACACACCCACGGTTGTCCTGTGCCCTCCACACTACATTATGGCACCCTGCCTCACATATGCATACACAGATAAATAAATTATATAAGAGCAGATTGACCTTGTAAGCTAAATATTGTTAATTACATTTGGAAATATACTAATCCTACTTGAAAAGTAATTAAAATAATTTTCTTTAAACGTTTAAAATATCAGCCAGGTGTTGTGGCACATGCCTTTAATTTCTGCAGGGGCAGGCCGCTGAGTTCAAGACCAGTCTGATCTACAGAGTGAGTTCAAGGGCAGCCAGAGCTATACAGGGAAACCGTGTTGTGGCAAATAGATTTTTCTTTAAAATATTACTACTTCAATACTAATAAAAAGGGAGACACTAATTTTTCTGTAAGTACAGAGCTGAGATCTGAAGCTAGATATCCTGGGTTCAAATCTTAGCTCTTGTGAATTTTGGTGTTTTTGCCATTTCCATGGACAGGTTATTAATTCCTGCATGCTTCAGAGTCTTGTAAAATGGCACTCATGCCAATATAACACCTGCCTCAGGAATGGAGTAAAGAGTTAATATAGAATACTTCTAAAAACATTTCTGCAACATGCCTACTAAAAGCACTCAAAAGATGCAACTGGTTTGCAGAAAATAGGTGTCAAAACTGTTTCCCTGGAGCACTGAAGATATTATAGCAAAAGATGTGTTATTTCAGCAACTAAACTGAGTTGGTTTTGTTGTTTATTTGAGACAGGGTCTCTTGGTATCCCTAACTGTCCTAGAACTCTATGCAGACCAGACTGTTGTTGAACTCAGAGATCATTGTACTGCCTCCCAAGTGTTGGGAATAAAGGCATGTGCATGCTTTTAATCCCAGCACTCCTTGAGGCAGAGACAGGCAAATCTTGGTGCCAGCCTGGTCTACAAAGCAAGTTCCAGGACAGCCAGGGTAGTTACATAGAGAAACTCAGGGGCTGGGGGCGGGGCCTGTTTGAGGTAGGCATGGCATTGCATGCATGCATGCATGCCTTCCCTTTAGCCCCTCACCCCCTAGGTGGATCTCTGATTTCAAAGCCAACCTGAGTTCTAGAACAGCCAGAAAGTGTCTTTTAAAAAATCAAGGTTTGCCATGGAAATCTTAGCCACTCTTCTCAAATACAGCATAAAATGGGGTTCCTGTGGGACTGTGGTTTTATCAAAGTGGTTGAGAGTTGGCTAACATGTACAAGGGCCTGAGTTCAATCTCAAGCAACACAAAAAGCAGAGACAGCTTGCAGATGTACAAATTGAGAAAAACTTTTGAGTAATACTCATTTCCATTTTTGTATGAGTCAGTAGGCAGTATACACAGATAGTTGCCATATGTACAGAGCATGGGGTGGTGTGTCAGTGGTGAGAAGCAGGGTCAGCTGATGACCAGGCTTTGCTACTTAGTAACTGACCCATGGCAGCTGCTTTTCTGCCTCCTGTTTTTCGGCTGCAAAGCATAGGTAATAAAGTGCTGCTAGCTCATAGGGTTATTGTAGCTTAGGAGTAAAGGCTCAAAAGTCCATGGTTATTAAAATAGTGTGAAATGTTTTAGTATCATCACTGCACACCCTAATCTCACCCAGGAACAGTCTCTTTAGTGATCTGTTCTGGTGGCACAGATGTCACAAGTGCAGAAGGTACGAGGATCACATCTCCATGCAGCTGCTTTAAGGCCCAGTCTTGGGTTGGGAAAGAACGAGAAAGATGATGACAGGATAACCTTTCAAAGGGTTTGATGCTGACAAAGAGCAGACTAACTTACCTAGTCTCATCTTCTGTGTTTCTTCTGAACTTTCAAACATTTACTCTGTTCAGCTCCTATCTAGTTTTTAAAAGATTAGTGGTGCCGGGCTTTAGTGGCGCACGCCTTTAATCCCAGCACTCGGGAGGCAGAGGCAGGTGGATCTCTTGAGTTCAAGGCCAGCCTGGTCTACACAGCGAGTTCCAGGAAAGCCTCTAAAACAATACAGAGAAACCCTGTCTCGAAAAACCAAAAAAATAAAAAAATAAATAGCCATCATGGCTGGGAATGTAATTCAGTGGTAAAAGTGCAAAAGGCACTGATTTTGGTGGTTCACACAATTTTAATCCCAGCACTTCTGGAGGCAGTGTTCTAGGGACCAGCCTGGTCTACAGAGGAAGTTCCAGGACAGCCAGGGCTTCAGAGGAAACCCTGTCTTGAAAAAGCAAACAAAAGCAACACAAAAGACTTGGGTTCAACACCCCCCCCAAAAAAAAACCCAGAAAGGTGGTAACCACCTCAGTAATTTTATACCCATCCCTTTTAAGCCAAAAGCAAGAAAGCAGTTAGCTCCAGCAGGGTGAATTAGTGTCTTAGTCTGAAGAATTTTTAAAGCAAGCCAAGTAATTGTATAAAATTTAAATTTTATGATCATGGCCAGACCTTTTTACACTTAATACAATGGAAATATTCATTGTTTTCCCCCAACGGAAAAATTTCTGAATCATACTATGTTGCACATAGACTAGAAATAAAAATTCGGGTACTTTTTCAAGTTTCTAAAGATTGCAAATAACAACCCACTGTTTAACTTCCAAAATATGAAGTCATTAACATGATTCTGTGGTACTGTTTCTCAGCTTTACCTAAAAAGTCATTATTCAGATAAAGTAGTCCTCATGTCACATTTAAGTCTCTGTTCCACCACAACTTCCTGAGATTTGTGAAGAAACTGCAGTCTTGTGATCAATCTCCATATAGTAGTGGCAGTCTTGTAATCATAAGGAAAGAAAACAGTGACTGGATTTATGTGTCAATCAGTTGTAGTCTGCTGATCTGATTGGAAGCCTTGACAAATGCCTGGTGGCGATTGCAGAGAACCGCCAAGCATATGGGGATAATACAGTAGCCCACTGTTTTGGGATCAGCTCTTGTACAAGAATAAAGGAACAAAAACATCTGCAAGTATGGTATCAGAAAAATAACTGTCCACAACCAAAAGGGCAGGGAAAGTAACCGCGCTTTCAAGGAGTGTGTCCATGTGGTTCCTTCCCGAGGCTCCTCGGGGTGCTGCTGAATGTGTTCCAAAGCCAGCCTGTTGTAAGTCTCGTTGATTTCAAAAACATAGTAGAATGCTGCTGCACTTGCTAGCAAATACAATCCCACTCCAATCCAGCCCATCCGCTGACGGAAGTTCATCATTCTCCATGCTCTGTGCCTTCAATGTAAACACAGGAAAATGCAGTTAGGGTCTAGTAGTGTTTCCATGGCAACCATTCCAAGTGTACTTGATTTAAATTGGAGTTCTCAAAAGCACAAGCATATTTTAAGATTTAACAGCTGTAAACAACTTACAGGTGGTTGTTTTATATAACAATTGTGAGCACGTAAAAATACTGGTTTTAGTATATATTGAGTGCTGCTATTTATGTGAACCCTACAGAGTGAATGAATCATCACATCTTGTTTGAATAGACACAAGTACACCTTCGTTTCAGATAATGGGGTATCTAGTTTCCACATAGGACATTGCACTTGACAGTTGAAATGCTTTCTGACTTAACACTTATTACTTCAGACATTAACACTGGGTTCTACTCGTTAAAACCAATGTCGAAGCCCCCAAGACGGTAACTCAAACACTTACAGTGGTCCCGAAAATCTTCCTGTTCCCCCAGCAAGCGTGCAAGAGTCACTCAGTTCTGAATAGTCAGGTGCCTTTGGCATTTCAGAACAAGCCACCTTAAGAGAAACCCTCTGGGTCGTGCTGCTCGGACAGGGTGAGCGCCGCCGGCAGGAGCACGAGCTACTAGTGATTAAGCTCAGCGTGACTACGGCCGGTCACGCGACGGCCGGCCCCATCGCCCTCTGGAGCCCCAGTCGGGGGCAGCCACCTGGAGATGCTCGGCCGCCGGGGTCTCGGGGCAGCCAGCGGGCCCGCCCTCCGCAGCAAGCGCTAGGCGCCCGAGCCGAGCAGGCTGCGCCAGACCTGGCCCGCAGAGCCCGGAGCGCGGCAGCCGGCGGAGCGCCGAGCCAGCCTGACAGCCAAGCCGAGCAGCCCCGGGTCTCACCTTCCTGTCCTGAGTGGCCCGCCCGCTCGCAGTCCCGGATGCCGCCGCAGTCAGAGCTTCCGTCTTGGGCCGGAAACGGGCTCCCGCCTCTCCTGACGTCAGGCTGTCTCCACGGCGCCGCCCCCTGCCGCCTCAGACGGGGGCGGTTGTCTGGTCCCTGAGGCGTTGCGGCGTCCCTCTCCTGCCCTCGGCGGGTGAAGCGGGCTCCCCTCACCGTGTCCCCCCCACACACACACCGAGCTCAGGACGTGGTCCCCGGGTCTCGTGTGAAGCCCTCAAAGGTCAGACGCCTTCCCCGGGATCCGAGCGGCGTCCGAGACGGCGGTGGTCCTCGGGCCCGCTGTGGTCTGTGGGCGGGCGCCGGAGGCGGGAGGGCGGAGGAGCCGGCTGCAGCAGCACACCGTTAACTTACATGGGTGCTCTGTCTTCTCAGGCTCCTGGACCTCGGCGAGTTGAAGAGACAAGTGCGCACATCTCTGTGAGTGGCAGCGGCACCATGACGCTGAGGCTCCTGGAAGACTGGTGCAGGGGGATGGACATGAACCCTCGGAAAGCACTGTTGGTTGCCGGCATCCTTCCCACCTGCGGACTGGCAGACATCGAGGAGGCCCTGCAGGCTGGCCTGGCTCCCTTGGGGGAGCACAAATTGCTTGGGAGGATGTTCAGGAGGGATGAGAACAAAAATGTAGCCCTGATAGGGCTTACAGTAGAGACTAGCAGTGCTCTGGTTCCCAAGGAGATAGCTGGAAAGGGGGGTGTCTGGAGAGTGATCTTTAAGCCTCCTGGTGCTGATAATGAGTTTTTATGCAGATTAAGTGAGTTTTTAAAGGGGGAGGGCATTACGATGGGTGAGTTGATCAGAGTTCTTGGGAATCGAAAGGACCCTCTCAGCCTAGATCAGGGCATGATCTCTGAAATGCGAGCACCCATGTTGGCCCAGGCATTAGATGTGGCTCTTAAGCCTACCCTGCAGTATCTGAGTTACAAAAAGCTGAGTGTATTCTCAGGCAGGGATCCTCCGGGACCAGGTGAAGAAGAATTTGAATCGTGGATGTTTCATACTTCTCAGGTAATGAAAACATGGCAGGTGTCAGATGTCGAGAAAAGAAGGCGGTTGATAGAGAGCCTTAGAGGCCCAGCATTTGAAATTATTCACGTCCTCAAGATAAACAATCCTTTCATTACAGTTGCAGAATGCCTGAAGACCCTTGAGACAGTATTTGGGATTATTGATAATCCTAGGTCATTGCAGGTCAAATACCTTACTACTTACCAGAAGGATGGTGAAAAGCTGTCTGCATATGTTTTAAGGTTGGAGCCTTTATTACAGAAATTGGTACAGAAAGGAGCAATTGAGAAAGAAGTTGTGAATCAGGCCCGCCTAGAGCAGATCATCGCTGGAGCAGTCCACAAGACAGTTCGAAGAGAGCTTGGACTGACAGAGGGTGGCCCAGCCCCAGATTTACTTCAGTTACTGAAACTGATAAAAGACAAGGAGGCGGAAGAGGAAGAGGTCCTCCTTCGGGCCAAATTAGAAGGGTATTTCACTTGACCCAAGACTGGCGAGGATGTCATGATGAACAGAACATGATGGAAGAATTCATTTCAGTGGTCAGGCCATTCCCACTTGTGCTGCCAAAGTAACTTACCCTTTGTTGTGTTCACCCTATTGAATATCTCCCCAATGTATTACTGACAAATCAAAAGATTAGTCATTCTACTAGTGCAGTGTTCCAGGAGGCCAAACAAAGTTCACTTGCACGTGTAATAGTCATATGTGACCATGTTTTCAGTTACCAATAGTTTTCAAGTGTTGCCCACATTTATGGTGAAGACCCTGAGCCAAGGCTGGCTAAGATATTGAGGGTTTCTTTTTTATGTATATAATATATGTGTGTGTGTATATATATATATACATATATCAGTTATTGATTCTGTGCAATCAAAAAGCACACTTGAATGCTGAGGTTAAGTCTACAACAGCTCTCCTTAGGTTGTGATGTATCTGATGTGTTGTCAAAGTGACTGATTCTAAATATCATTTTCTTGGTGTTATAAAATTGAATAAAGAAATGCCAATAATAAACTGTTGGGTTTTATCTTTCTAAACTTTTGGGTTTCAAAATATATTTCCCCACAATACAGAGTCTCTCAGTGTAGCCCTGGCTGTCCTGGAACTCTGTAGACCAGGCTGCCCTCAAATTCAGATCTGCCTTCATCTGCCTCTCCAATACTAGGATTAAGGCATGTGCCACATCACTCAGCTTTATAAAAAAAAAAACAGAAACCACACTGTAAACAGATCATGGCAAGTAGTAGACCCAGCTACATCACTACTAAATTTGGAGAGAAAGGAAAGATAAGGTTTCTATTTTTCCAATCCTAAAAATCTTGTAAAATTTGCCAGGCATGGTGGTGCGCACCTGTAATCCCAACATTTAACATGTAGGGGCAGTGGCAGGAAGAAAGACTAGCCTTTCAAGACACTGCTTCCAAAGATAAAATTCTGTACATTGGGAAACTCAGTTCACACCTAGGGAGACTTGGACACATGCCTAAGATGAAACAAGTGGTAATGAGAGTGCTCTCTTTCTTGCGTGTTGGTGTTCTCTCCACTGCCAGGGAAGAAGCAGGGCCAAACTTGGTCACCATGCATGCATGTAGTCTTCCGTGCATTGGAGTGCAATAGATTACTCTGAATTAGGACACATGGTCAGTTCCCATAAATTCTCCCACTACAGAATGTCATGTGGACTCTTGGAGGCTGTGATTCTGCCCTTGTTTGTGTGGTGGTTTAGGACATCAGGCACTGTCCTACAGGTCACTCATTTGGTGTCTCAGTTGTGAGAAATGCTCCATTTTGTTATGTAGATACAAGAGTGTTAGTAAACGCTGCACCTCTCCTGTACGTGAGACCCTAAGCTTGAGAAGTAAACTGTACAGGATAAGTCCTGCCCTGACTTTGGACATGTCCTTGGCCAGGAATTGAATACCAGCTGAAGACCATATGTTCCAAGAACCTATGTCCTCTTCCCCACCTCCCATTTAATGAATGAGTTGAGGCGAAGAGAAGTAACTTGTCTAGGGTTTTACAAGTAGTAATGTGACCCCCCCCCTCCGGTTGGGTCTTTTTATTCTGAGTAAAAACCATGGGTAGACACAGAGACCTTTAAGTGCTGGTCTTTGACAGCTTTGATTTCCCATAATGTCTGACGGTGCCAACAGGCAGGTGGAAAAGGCAGAATGTGCCCCCTAGTGCTACAGCTCTTGTGAAAGCCTAGGATGCTGGGCCCTTCAGCATTAACAACAAGTCTTTTCTTGTGCGAGTCTGTAGTAATCAGGCCCTTTGCTCTAACCTAAATTACAGTGTAGGCCCCTCTAAAGTGGTACAGCAATTGTGTAGGCCTAGGAAGTTCGGATTCCTTAGCCCTTGGCAGAGGCCAGCCTTAAAGCTCGCAGGCCTCGGGGTGTCTGAGACTTGTAAAATCACACAAGCTCTCTGGACCCTCCAGTGGCAATGGCCTGCAATTCTTTTCTGGCTCGCTCTTTACAGCCTTTTGTCCATCTCTGCCTCTTCAGCTATCAAAGCAGCCACGCACATTGCTATTTTTCTGGCTTTGCCTGCCACTCTTCTGTCTTTGGACTGTCATCTTAGGCCCACAGCTACTAAAAACAGGCAAGAAGAGGATACTAGAGAATCTTCACTGGGGGAGCAGCACAAAGGGGAATCTCCAGTGACTCAGCAAGTGAGCTCAACAGCCTGCTTAGATTGGCATAGGAAGGGTGTTAGTGCCAGTTTCAGAAAGCTTGATGTAAATGAGGGACTGTGTTTGCACCAATCACAGCATTGTCCCTGTAATACTAGCCATGGCAGTCACTGCTAAGCTATGAGAGAAACAGTCCTTCCTGAAAATGGTTGCAGGGTTTTCCAGGGTTCACTGAGGTTGTGCTAGCAACCATCTGAGAGAATCTGAACCAGTCTTAGCTGAGGTTTCACCTTCAGGAGCTGGAGTTGTGTAGTGTTTGTCAAGGTGTCCATGGAATGTTCAAAACAGCGATGTTGTCTTAAGGATAGGCTGGCTGTTGACCGTCCTTTCGCTCAAAGCAGCCAAGACAGCAAGGGTGAGACCAGCAACTGGTGATTAAGGAATCAAATTGCCCTATCAGCGCAAGTGCTCACATTGAAAAAAAAGAACCTATTAACTGATTTTACCAGCACTTTAATAACGTTTAACACCTGCTGAGGGCTCTCACAGTCTCCTTTATCAAAGCGACAGGCCAGGATTTACATCCAGACTGCCCACTGCCAGAGTCCTTGATCTTTCTTTTTCATAAAGAGTTCTTTGTATCTCATGTTATGAGCGCTTTGCCTGCAAGTATGTATGTGCCTCATATTTGTGCAGCGCCTACGGAAGCCAGAAATGAGAGTAAGGGCCCCCGGGGCTGGAGTCACAGAAAGTTGTGAGTGCCAGAAACTGAACCCAGGTCCCTCTGCAAGAGCAGCCAGTGCTCTTAACTGTTAAGCCATCTCTGCAGCCCTCAGAGTCCTTGATCTTAATCTGTTCTATGTTATCTTGTTAATTTCTTACACGATCATGCCCAAAAAACAGTTTCCATTTTACAGACAGGAGGATTCAGTGCCAGGAGTGGGACACAGTCTGACTCCAAAGAACTTTTCTTGGAAAAAATTTGTAAAACCTTGCTTTCCTGCATGGGTGTGCAACCATGTGTGTGTGCCCGTGCCTGCAGAAGCCAGGAGAGAATCGTGTGACTCTGGAACGGGAGTTACTTATGATTATTTGCTGCCATGTGGATGCTGGGAAGGAATGTGGGTCTCCACGAGAGCAACGACTCCTCTCACCTGCTGAGCCACCTCTCCAGCCCACGCTTGTCTTCGGTCCTCTGCGTGCATCTGGTGAATTCTACATAAGGGAGAAAAATTTAAAAAGGTTTATATTTGTGAAGTTGAAAAATATTAAAAGCACATATGCTCTTTTAAACAGCCGTGTTTCAGAAACACAAAGGCACTAGATGCAAAGTTGACATAATAGGCCCTGAAGGAGAATTCCTTTTGTTTGAAAAAGAAGTGCTCAGAGCCATGAAAGGCGGGTGGCATGTCAACAGCCAGGCCATCCCGGAAGGGCATCCTCACAGTACCACAGTACTGGCTACAGAGCAAACATCGTCCTGCTAGTTCTAACCCAAAGTAAATACCTGTGAGTTGATACTGATGTAGATAAAGACTGAGTAAATAACTATGGGAGAAAAGATAAATCTTTACAGAAGAGTTTCAAATAATTCTTGTGGCTACTTCACCCTTTAGGAAGTGCGTTAGTTCTTGTGATAGAACACAAGCGACTTCCTGAAAAAAGCAGGATGTTTTTGTTGTTTGTTTGCTTGCTTTGGCTTATAGGTCCAGTGGGAGAGTTCATGATGGTGGGGAGGGCTTGCCAGCTGCTGGATCAGGAATCTGACTGGCCAGTTTGTCACTCAGGAAGCCCAGAGAGCTAACAGGAAGTAGGGCAAGACTACAAACCCTCAGAGTAGATCCCCAGTTAGCATGCTTCCTCCAGCAAAGTTCCATAGATTCCTCTAACCAGGGCCGTCAGCTGGGGAACAAGTGTGCAGACACCTACAACAGAGTGCCATTGTCATTTAGACCACCCCAGAAAGCAACGTTCATCATGTTCTTTTCCCTTGCATGTAGGCTCAACTTGGTGACTTCATTCTAAGGATAAAGAGTATGGAAAGGTACAACAGTAACTTTTTATAGAAAGACCTGGCAAATGCTACCTGGGCACTAACATCAGTGATGTCACCGTGATACAGTGAGGACCCTTGGCGCAATGCGGTAAAGTCATAACCCTGGGCTAATGATAACATGCCCCCAGAGAAGCCCAGTTGAAGACATTCTATTATTTATTTATTTTTTATTTTTCGAGACAGGGTTTCTCTGTATTGTTTTGGAGGCTGTCCTGGAACTCGCTCGGTAGACCAGGCTGGTCTCGAACTCACAAAGATCCGCCTGCCTCTGCCTCCGGAGTGCTGGGATTAAAGGCGTGCGCCACCAACGCCCAGCGAAAACATTTTTTTTAAGTACTGAAAAACTACCCCAAACCAGAGGTGACTAAGGAGTTGTGGTAACTACATATAATGTGGCATTCTGGAACAGACTTTGAACACATAAAGAATTTTCTAGTAAGAAAATTAAACCTGGAGCTGGGGAAATGGCTCAGTTGCTAAGGGCACTTGTTGCTTTTTCAGAGGTCCTGGGTTTGGCTCCCAGCACTCACAGGGTGGCTCACAACCATTCATAACTCCAGTTCTAGGGGATCCAGTGCCTACTGACCTCCATGGGCACCAGGCATGTAAGGATTCAGGCACTATGCTGGCCTGCCCCTGTCACCTGGCAGAATGCACTCAGGCAGTACACTGGTCAGCCCAGATGCAAAGGACCCCTTTAAAAGAAAGATCCCTGCCCACTTAATCTCTTTCTCTCTCTTTCCTGCTGTTCGCCTGGGGCAGACAGTGCCTTTCCTGGCTCCCTCTTCTCTTCTGTCCTCTCTCTGTCTTTGTGTCCCTGTATCTCTTTTCTCCCCCGCCCCCAATTCCCTTTCTAACAAAACTTCTCCCTAAGCTCTGTTTGCCTGGCGTGTTCGTCCCCTGCCTCGATCACCCTCGCCTGCCATGGAATCCACCAAGGTTCACCTCAGGCTTTGTCCTGACAAGGCATGGATGTGGTGGACATACATACATGTAGGCAAAACACTTATGTATGTAAATAAATTTATAAAGATCCAATCAGAAGCCTAACTGTCCTAGCTATATTCTCTGTGCTGTTTCCGGGTTTCGTTTTTGTTTTTGGAGGCAGGGTTTCTCTGTGTAGCCCTGCCTGTGCTGGGAATCTCTCCGTAGACCAGGCTAGCCTGGAACTCAGAGATCTGCCTGCCTCTGCCTCCTGAGTGCTGGGATTAAAGGCGTGCACCATTACCACCCGGCCTTCGTAGCTGTGATAAACAAGACCAAAAGCAATCTGGGGGAGAAAAGGGCTTATTTACAGGTTACAGTCGGTCATCAAGGGAAGCA